ATGTGAAAAAGGCAGCAAAAGGATGATGCAAAAACAAAAACATACACGATAAGAAAAAAGTACTTAGTACTGTTTCACACTTTTCTACTTTTGACTTTGAGTATAATCACGTGAAGTATAATCATTAAACTGATGCAAATATTTACATTTTCGCACTGTGGACTTAAACAGTTCCAAATCGGGTCTCCCACAATTTGAAGACATTTGATAAGAAGCTGACTTGGCACAAACCATTTGAAGTAACTGTGGAAATAACTATGGGAAATCCAAACTTTTTGTTCATTGTCTTCTTACCTTTTTCCATATTGCACTGTTCAAAAATTCAAAAGCTATACTTGTGGAAACCAAAGCTGAGATAATTTGCTACGAGCTCAGTTATCATTTTTTTGAACAGAGCGATATGGTAAATTGTTAGATGGATATGAACAAAACATTTGGTTTTCCCATAGTAATTTCCATATAAACTTCAAATGGTTTGTGCCAAGTCAGTTTCTTATCGAATGAGTTCAAATTTTGGGAGTTAAGACCCGATTTTGAACCGTATGAGCACGGAATTAACAGCAAGTTGGCTCGAAATCGCTACTCCCAGCTTGCAGGCTGCCTTTCGCTGTGTACTGGAGAACAATGTTCAGTGCCACACGCCGAAAGCACTGCTGCTGCTGCTGCTGACACCGACGACCGGACACCACCACAGAAAGGATCGAATTAGATTTTTAAATCTGTGTGTGTTGATAATTTTGATCACCATTGCAACAGTTGAACATTTGTGTATTTTTCAGTAGTGACCTATTGAAAATTAATAAAGTGTTCACTTTAGCAGATTGGTACATAAATCTCCAATCGTTTGGCTTGTTTAGAATTAAAATCCATCTGCTATTGACAGAGTTATATGTGATCAAAACCTGACCTCTTTTCGTAATGCGGTCGATTTTGGTTTTATTGAAATTGCACCCCCAATATGTTGCCGAAAGACGTAATCCGAGGTCAAAAAAAACCTTGGGATTAGTGTTTTTCCCCACACAAAAATTATATCTACAAAACAAGCATCGCATTGTACACCTAACCACATCCTTACAATCGCAGGGGAAGGAAGGGGAAGTAAATCCAACATCTACTTAAGAAGGTGCAGGGAACCCATACTACTTTCATAGATTTCTCAGGAAGCTAAGAGTTGTGTTAGTTAGAGGGCCTAATGACTTTGCAGCGTCATGTTCTCAAAAATGCTTTATTTAATTTTCCTTGAACCAACGCAATCACTGATAACGCTTCTCTAGCTTATCTCTTTGTTCTACTCGTACGCACCGAATTAGGTTTAAATAATTTTTCCTTTAAATATGAGTTCGAATTAATTGTAACGTCATCATAGCTTTATGAAAAGATTGCAATCCCAACTTCAATATAATGAACGTTAAAGCAGTTGAAGTTTCCTCTAAACCTTTGTAGTTCATTAGCAATTTCTCAGCGTCACGCACACATATGACGTGTTTGATGATTTACAATTATCTGCTGCTTGCTATTCTATCGATTCCAATCGACAGAATTGTCCAAAACGGGTCGAAAACGTTTTTACAACACTCCTAACTTCTCAGGTGAGTGCGACTATTGTCGGCAGCCTCTTTCTCTTCGGCAACCTTTCCATTTGAACTGCATGTTAATCACACGGCCAATCTGAACAACTCAGCGACTGAATTCAATTGACTCGGAGCATTTTCTTTCCCTACGAAATTTACTCATACTTGGGAAAACCTGCAGGAACTCATAGCTAATCAGGTTTTCCCAAATATGAGTAAATTTCGTAGGGAAAGAAAATGATCTGAGTCAATCGAATTCAGTCGCTGAGTTGTTCTGATTGGCCGTGCAGCTGTTCTATTATCATCGGTAACTCGAAATCTGCCGTATTTTTAAAGCGTTTATTTCATTTGAAGAAAAACCTGGCATAACAGATTTGCTCAGTCGTAAAAATGTAATCAAATTGAATACATTCAGCGATGTGTTTTGGTGAGAAAATACAGTGAAATTAACGTTCAAATTTTGGTTGCCGAAAACAGTCAATGGGTGCCGAGGCATAATTTCCCTAATAGGTTTTCATCTCGTTATTTTTAGATTTCGGTTAGTTTTAGTAGTATTAAAGTGAATTCAATCGGCCCTCGTAAACGCTAATTGGGATCGGTGTTGGAGCATTTTTAACCCGCCCTGAAGAGAGCCTCTGGCCGAGCCTCCTGATCAGCAGCAGCAGCCTCTCGATTATGAGAGTGGCGATTAAGCTGCTGCTAGCAAAGAGCTTAAAACATTCGTTACATATGCACCGCTAGATAAATTTAGATGTCCCCTTTAGTAGAAACATTCTTCTTTTCATTCAAATCCGTTCGCAAAGCGGTAAAGCGCGGGTTGTGCTTAGTAGGACGAACGTTAGATCGAAAACCCTAGGAAAGGATTCTTTTCAAATGAAACGAACTTAGCAAATTAATCCATGGTGTACAAGTTATAAGGAAAGTAACTCCCTGCACTGCGCACTTTAGATCTCAATTCACGTTTGCATACACTCATAAAATAAATCACATAACCAGTGGAAAATATCCATGTGAATTCCACATAACTTTCATGTGATCCCATAATTGTAAATTGCACGACTAAATCACATGAACTTTATGTTTCCAATGAAATCTATATGATTTCTCATATAGAATTTCTTATGCTATGTGATATTCAGATAAAAATCATTATTTTTGTTATTGGAAAAATATTATGTGCGTTCCTAATAGAAGCTAAGTGAAAACTTTTTTCAGTGTATGATCCCGAGCAAAGTCGGTTAACAAAATGAAAGCAAATCGATATTAAAGTTTGCAGTTCCTATCATAATGAAAACTCATTTTGATTTCAATTGTCGTGACATAAGTCTGATATCATATTGTGCTTTCATTATGCAGTCAAAACTTTTTAAATGAAAGCAACTTTACTTGAAGTTTTACTGTTAACGTCTTGTTTAAAATTTAATTTAAGTTCATCTGTTGTTTATGTCTAATGATTATTGTTTATTTGTTTTGTTTAACTCATTTTAGGTCATTCATTACTTGCCCGAGGTGAGATTTGAGCTCAATTCTCTAAGCGTGAGAAGCATGGATACTAAACATTTACGCCATGCCCGTATTCAGTTAAACATTATGAATGCAAAATCAGTAATCAAATTGATTTCATTGAAAGCAAGATAAGTTTTCCGTTTGATTCAACAGTGTAAAATTTTGCTCTCATTTTTGCTGTGCTAACCGTTAAGTCAACCAAAATGAGATCAACTGGAGTATTCAAAATAAGTTACATCATAACAGCAAATTTTGATTTCAATTTGATCTCCAGCTTTGCTCGGGATTCCATCCCATGACACAGTCGATTCTGAGTGATTCCCCTCTTATCATTTTCAAGGAAATAAGAACAGCAGAAATTCGGTTTAAATTGCCGATTGTGTGGCTCATTCACATTCGATAAGAGCGAAGCCGAATCTCCTTAAGGTGCAAATCAGATTGGATTCACCCTTTGTATGTATTAGTATGTTTTAAGGGATTTCAACTGGTTATGGTGCAAGGAAATTCGTGCTTATTTTTTAAAAGGTGGCAAGTATAGTAATCTCGCAGATTTAAATTTAACTATAAGATTATCTGAGAATGTAATGGCATGTCTTGTGTTCAGATTCAAAGCAAACTGATACATGTAAGAAATCGTTTACTTATTACGTAAGGGCTTATGGGGGAGGGTAGTCAAGGCTTTTCTTATTTTTGGGACTTGTTTTCTTATTTCTCGGATTTGTTAGAAAAAAAAACAAGGGGTTGACAAATCTTGAAATAGTGTTACGTAATTATTGGACGGCCGTTAAATAATAGAAATAAGCATATTAATACCGTGGACCCCCGCTAATCTGAACGACACCTCATTCATATTAACGGGGTTCATTTTTAATTTGAACTTCTAGTAACCCTATCAGCGTGTTTCTGGTTGCCTTATTTGATGTTTTGTTTTGATTCTGCGTTCCGTTTTGCAGTGTTCCATTTCGCTTTACTCCGTTCCATGTGCAAAATGACGTTTAGGCTATTTTCAGTTTGCACGCCGTGCAGATAAGCGGGGTTCAAATTAAAACCGGTCATATTACCGGGGGTCCACGGTACTAGTTAAGATACATCGAACACCATAGCACAACCTCATGTCTCCAGTTGCCAAATCTAGAAGTTGTGGATCTGAAATCCGGAAGAACCTGAAATTTTAATAAAAGTCTTTCGACGATATTGGTATGTATTATTAAAGAATAAAAATATATAACTGACATTAAGTTTGTTGAGTATTTGAATTTCCGGTAATACTAACTCTTTGTTTTGAAGTTTGTGAGATTGAAACTAATCCGTCCATAAAATGTGTTCGGAAAATTTTGTATCGACTCAAATAAATATACAACTATCAATACAGAGGCCATCAAACACGCATTTATCCCGCATTGAAAACATGATATTATGATAAAAAATCTAAATAAGCTTTTTATTAAACTGAGAGCCGGAATCGTTGCAAAATGGGGTGATTACAGTAGTGATTCTCAAACACACAGACACTCGCAAAAATTGAGCTTGTATGTTGTGACTGAGTTCAACCTTAAATAATCCATATGTTCGATTATTAGTCTGTCACCCAGCAGAAGTCAATAAATGGATACAAGGTTACAATCAACAAAGATTCAAGAGAGTTCAATCGAAGGCATGTAGAATATAGAGCTAGATAAAAAAAAATTTCATCCGATAAGCGTTCAATACTCCGTCAAGTTTAACAAAGACGCGTAATTTTTCGCCAACCCTTGCGTTCCTGTTCGTTGGAAATAAATACCTATAATACGTACACATCAGCTGTTAATCGTTATCAGCTGCAGTAGCGCTTCAACCGTAAGCAGGGCAAACCGCACGAGTGCTGTCCATCGAAATGGACAACTGCTGGATACAATTCGATTCCAACCCGTTCACCGAAAACAGCGATTCTACCGATCCTTATCGCTTTCGGTACAACGCCCGATTCCCGGAATACGGAGGCTTCACAATGCGCTTGAAATCGTTCGAAAACTCCCAGTGGAACCCAGTTGAAAGGCGGTACCTAGCGGAAGCGGGATTCTTCGAACCAGGTCGCCTGCACACGGTACAATGTTTCTACTGTGGATTGCGGATGGCGTTAGAGTGGAATGACAATGACGATCCCTGGCGGCAACATGCCAAACACGTAGGAAACGACGGTTGTGCCTATCTCTATCACATGAAGGATCAAGCATTCGTGAAAGGACAAGAGGTGGGTGAAGGTGGAGGAGCAACATGTTTCGATCGGGGTGGCGGTGAAAGCGGATGGATTCCATGCCAGGAGATGAACAGCTGTAGGCTTTGCGTATGGGAATTTTGGATGACGCCCCCGGAGGAGGACGACGACGACAGTGATTGAATTTGCTTAATATTAATGTGACAAAAAATTAAGAATACGTAAATATATATTGGTTTTCTGTTTTTTTTTTTAAATAGAAAGCCACATTTTAAATCTACTTTCATTCTTTACTCAACTGTCGAGCTGTTCAGTCCGTATTTTCGCTCGAGTTCTCGATTCAATTTTGTTTTGTTTTGTGCTGTCGCGTTGTGCCGTGGAAGTGTCGCCACCTTCTCGCGTTCTGGCAAGTTTACTTGAACTTGAAAACACAAAACAAATTGACGAGTGCACGGATGGATTTGAGTTCACTCACTCGACAATAAGTGACACAACAGCGGGGCCCTGTTTACTAAAAATGAACACATGAATAATACTCACGTAACATTTGAAACGGGTCTATCAACTTATGTACACAAAACTTGTTAAGCCTTCTTCGCGCGAACCGAATACGTTCACGTAAACTACCAACACCATCGGGCAAAGGAAATTCTCCCCTTCCCCATAGTGCTCTTGGTTTGCGTGGGCGTACTTCGGTTCTCGTGAAAAGGACCTAGCAAATTATTTACCAAAGTTGATAGGCCCTTTTCAAATGTTACGCGAGTATTATTCATGTGTTCATTTTTAGCAAACAGGGCCCCGCTGTTGTGTCACTTTTTGTCGAGTAAGTGAACTCAAATCCATCCGTGCACTCGTCAATGGTGCGTAAACGTGCCAATGAGCAGCGGGCCCTTCAAAGAAGGTGCTAATCAAGCCCAGCGCGTCGCAGGATGACGCCGGAAAACGAGTACTGCAAGCCAACCAGTATGCAGTACTCCCGGAAGAAAATGGCGATGGTGACGCCGTTCCCATTGCTAGAAGAGAGCGGATTCCCCCGCTTTTCACGCCGATGAAGGATGTTGCCAAGCTGGGTGCCGAACCAAAGATGAATACTAAGATGAAACTGTCGGAAGAAAAACTTTCAATTTTAGTGTCCTCTTTCACGGTCCCTTTCATCCAATGAATACCCCCAATAATTTTGTGGTGTTGCTGCCCCCTCGGTAAAGATGAAATTTTGCGCGCTTTTTTATCAAAACAATCACACCAAAATCAGCGATGTCCCATTTTTTAATTACTCGATTAACAATTAATCGATTATTTTTTGGTCGCTGAACTGTCATTTTTTCATCAATGAGAGTGCAAAACTTGTTTGACACGATCGGTGATGATCCTCTGCAGAAGTTAATGCTTATATCGGCATGATGTAACCGATTACAAATATTTTACTGTTCGGTTCGTTAATCGACTAATCGATTATCCGAATGAAAATCGGACATCACTAGATGAATGTGAAACGTCATTTCAAATATAAGGACCGTACATAAATAATGATAAAGTTTGAAAGGGAGCGGGTTTAATCACAAATTACGTCCCCACGGTAACTGAAATAAACACGAGTGTTCACCGGTTGGCCGAACTGGCAAAACACAAGCTGCTTCCTCGCTTCAAGTTTTGCAGCATCGGTACCAAAATCATGTGCTCCAGCCTGGAGGAGTTCAAACAAATAGGATGTTTCCTGAAGGACAACAACGTGGACTTCTTCACGCATGATCTGCCATCGAGCAAGCCACTAAAGGTGGTTTTGCGTGGATTACCGTCGTTCGAGGCGACTGCGGTGAAATACGAGCTGAAGCGGTTTGGGCTCAAGCCTTAGGCAGTGTACCCGATGAACCGGCGTCCCAACCACAACACCAGCTTCCGTGATCAGTTGTTCCTGGTGCATTTCACGAAGGGATCCACCAGTCTTGCGGCTCTGAGATCCAAAATCCAGGACCTGTTTCAGGTCATCATCAGTTGGGAGCATTATAAACCCCAACATCGTGATGTAACGCAGTGTATGAACTGCCTCTCATATGACCATGGAACCAAAAACTGCCACATGAAGACAAACTGCGGCAAGTGTGCTGGAACTCACTCCTGCGTCCTGTGAGCAAGTCGATGACATCGAGCCAACGTGTGTCAACTGCGGTGGAAACCACCAAGCCTCCAATCGTGGATGTCTCAAGCGAGTGGAGTTCATTAATATCCGTCTGAAGGCCACAATCAACAACCAGCTCGGTCGTCTCCGTAATCATCGTTCACCTTCTGTACTCACGGAAGTCCAGTACCCAGCTCTTCAGCTCCGTCAACATGTTCCGAACCTAGCCCCGCTTCCGCTCAACAACCAACAAGCCAATCCTGCGAGTATGGTTCCCAACAGTCGGACAGTTCAGCATCGTCTCGCTGCTGCTGCGACCCAGCCAATTCCAGGTTCATCCACCGCCCCTGGTTTATCATACGCTGGGACTGTCTCAGGTGAATCTGTCGACGATTCTCCGTTCACCTCGGAGGAACTTGTGACGTTCGTGGCCGAGGTCATCAGCATCATGCTCACCTGCAAGACTCGATCTGAACAGCTTCATGCTGCCTTGTCACTCGTCACCAAGTATGGACCGTGAAGCTATAAAAATTGCAAATTGACGAACAAGCATAGAGAGCTACTCGATTTCCTTAACACCAAGTAGGTCTACATTGCTATCATCACTTAGACGCATTTGAAGCCCGAACTGAACGTATTCCTTCCCGACTTCCGGTTCGTCAGACTTGATCGCACCTGCTCTGGAGGTGGAGGAGTGGCCATCGCTGCAAGACGGAACATCAGTTGCCGGCTGCTACCAAACTTCCAGCTGAAAACAATTGAAGCCATCGGAGTGGAGGTGAGCACATCACTTGGCCCAATCACCATCATCGCGGCCTACTGCCCCAAGCAAACCAACATCAGGGACGGGTCGTCAGTGGCCCTCCGGAAAGACATCATCAAACTCACCCGGAGCAGCGGGAACTTTATCATCGCTGGCGATCTGAACGCAAAACACAAAGCTTGGGGCAACGGTCAGAGCAATAGAAACGGCATTATCCTCAATGAAGACCTGCAAGAGGGCCACTATACCATCTTGGCCCCGGACTCTCCCACCGGTTGAGTCGGTCTGGGGTCCATGCGACCATCGACATCTTCGTAAGCAACATGGGACACAACATCTCGCAACCTGTGGCATTCCTGGAGCTGAGCTCGGACCACTACCCGGTGGTGGCCGAAGTTGGATCCTCGGTAAACCGATTCGAAGCCTCCCGGCGCAACTACCATCGAGTCAACTGGGCGCAATATCAACACTGCGTCGACACAACCATCGACTACGATGTCCAACCGGGGACGTCCGAATATGTTGACCGGTGTCTACAAACCATCGAGGAGGCGATTTCCCGGGCCAGGGAACAACACGTGCCAGTATCCAGACAGGTGAGTAACACTCTGAACCTTGACAGCCCTACCAAAGATCTCATTAGACTCCGTAACACCATTCGTAGGCAGTACCAGCGTACTGGCCTGCCTAACTTGAAGACCAATTGTAATCGATTAACAAAGATCATTCAGGCCAGGATGGTGGATCTCAGAAATAACGATTTTTCTAGTAAGATCTGCTATCTCCCAGATTGTGCTAAGCCCTTCTGGAAACTTACAAAAATTCTTAAAAACAAGCCTAGGCCCATTCCACCACTGACCCCACTGGATTGTCCCGGCGACCCAGTGGTTCATCTGATAACTCCTGAAGAGAAGGCTACCGCGATAGGTCAACACTTCGTCAGCTCCCATAATCTCGGACAAAACATTGTCAGCCCTCATGAATCTGAGGTTGCAGAAAATGCAACAAATCTTCTTCAGATTCCTAACAATTTTCCACAGGAATCCGAGATTACGGCTGACGAACTGTTGGCCTATATCAAATCATCTAAAAACATGAAGGCCCCAGGTTTCGACAACATCCTGAATCTGGAACTCAAACACTTGAGTTCCAGATTCTACAACCATCTGGCACTGATTTATAATCAGTGCCTCAGACTTGGCTACTTCCCCTTGTGTTGGAAGTCAGCTAAAGTCATACCCATCCGGAAACCTGGGAAGGATCCGTCCTCTCCTTCAAGTTATCGACCAATCAGCCTTCTCTCAGGGTTATCAAAACTGTTCGAAAGAGCAGTGTACCACCGGCTCCTAACATCTGCCGATGAAAACAACTTGTTACTCGAGGAACAGTTTGTTTTTCGGAAAGGTCGTTCGACCGTCCACCAGCTGACTCGAGTAACAAACATTCTCAGACCGAACAAGTCTGTTTCGAAAACATCTGCCATGGCGTTGTTGGACGTTGAAAAAGCGTTCGACAATTCTGGCATGATGGCCTGGTGTTCAAATTGCAGCAGTACGGTCTTCCAATCTTCCTAGTGAAGATAATAAACAGCTATCTATCTATGAATGGCATCACATAGTATGCTATGTGTCTCTATGAATGGCATCACATAGGATGCTGTCAACATCGGTGCCGGGGTTCCACAAGGAAGCATCCTTGGCCCCATCCTATTGAACCTGTTCACCTCCGATATGCCGGCTCTCCCTGATGGTGGATCGTTGTCTCTGTTCGCAGATGACACATCCATCGTCTACAAGGGTAGGGTCATCGGAGCTCTGACTGCCAAACTTCAGAGAGGCCTGGACGTCCTGGAGATGGAAGATCCGTATCAACGCGGCAAAGACCCAGGTCATTATCTTTCCACACTCTAAATCTCCCAGATTTGTTCCGTCGGAGAATAACAAGATCTGCCTGAACGGCACAGTGGTGGAATGGTCCAAAGAGGTCGTGTACCTCGGACTAACACTAGACAGCAAGCTTATTTTCAGGGAGCACGTTGACAAAACGAAAACCAAGTGCAACATCTTGATAAGATCGTTGTATCCACTTATCAACAGGAAGTCAACCCTGTACCTGAAAAATAAGCTTGCTGTCTACAAACAAATCATCCTTCCTGTAATCGAGTACGGTATGCCAATCTGGGAGAGTTGCGCAAAATGCCATCACCTTAAACTCCAAAGGATCCAAAACAAGATCCTTAGGATGGTCATAAACAGTCCCCCGCGGACTAGAAATTCTGAGATCCACCTCCTGGCTGGAATTCAGACATTAGAAGAACGGAGAGTTTTTAACCTGGAAAGGTTCAGAGACACCTGTCTGAAATCAAATCATCAGATCATACGTGATCTAGCACGTTAGGTTAAGTTATACTCGTAGTTAGGTAGGTTATCACTTTTTTTCAATTCAAATAAAACACATCCCCAAAGGGGTATTCTGTAAACTAGTTGAAAAACGCAAATATTAAATTAGAATATCAAATTAAACAAAGATGAAGAGCCAGGGCAGGTAGGCTAATCAATTAATATGATAAATCAATGTACTACCATAATCAACAGAAATAAACATAATTTTACTACTACTTAAATCTACTTCAAATGATCCAAAACGGAGCAGACGCATGGTACATAGTGCAAAGATTGTGACTTTCAGCTTGGTTGTGGGTGGTCATCGTTGTTCGTCTCTCATTCTTTCTCTCTCAAGGAAATTCTCTTCCTCTCCAAAGGGAGAGAGAGAGAGATCTAGGGAACGTAAAAACATAAACATTAAAACATGCCATGCTGGAGCTGGCCATGCTTTCTCGCGAGAGAAGCATGAGTAATCAGAATGCTACCCTACACAGCGAGAGCGCCAGTAAGTCGATTCATTCTTTCATGAAATTGTTGTGTACAAACAAAACAAAAAAGTGTCCACATGATAAGGGAGGAGTCTGTGGTAGATTGTCTAAAAAAGTTCTAGCTCACTATCAGTCATGGTAGTCGCCTAGGTCGAGAGTGAATCGAGGTTCTTTGAATCTCAATTGGTATTCTTCAAATCGAATCATCATGCAAACCGTGCAAAGCTTGAAGGACGGAATCTGGAACCTGCCCAACACGGTAACTAGTTTCCTAGCGAGGGACGAGATAGTTCCTAGCGGAAGCAATGATGATAATAACAACAACAGCAATGTGATGACTAACAGCGATATAAATACGAACAACGATGCCGACGACGGTGACGACCACGGCAACGGTGATGACATCACTGATAAGAATGATCCGAACGAGATTGCCGTCGAAGAAGGAGTTACCGTCACGGCAGCAGCATCGACTAATTCACTGCTATCCTACGACGATGACATTCTGGAACGTTCCCATGCCATTCCCTATGCTCTGATCAAAGAACAGTGGCAGCTGGTGTTGGACCAGGAAGCGACTATTCCGGACATGGAAACGGCCATCGTCAAGTGCAAGGATATGGTCCTACAGTGTACGGACAAGTCCGAGGAACGGAAATGGTTAGTTCGGCATTTGATTGAGCTGCGTCATCGGTTGAGGGAACTGCAGGACGTGGACAGCGATCCGGACGCAACGGCACCGGAAACGAAGGTCATCCTCGGGCATCACTTTGTCACGCACAAACAGAGTCCCAAATACAAGGTGCACTGTGATCACTGTTCCGGCATCATTTGGAATGTGGTGCAAGCCTCCTACATCTGCACCGGTAAGATTAAATGGTTCGGTACTCGAGCTTCTAAACTGACTGATAAGGGCATCTTCTTTCGACAGATTGTTCATTCGCGGTTCACCACAAGTGTATACGCAACGTGATAAGGATTTGTGCTCACGTAATCACAACCGAACGGAACCTACCGATTGAATGCATATGTCCGGAGATTGGGCTGGCCTTCCAGAAGTACACCTGTGCCGAGTGTGGAACGCAGCTCAGTTGCAGTGAGTATGAACAGTAATGCACCGTTAATGGGCATATTAGTATTACCACTCGCCCTTGATCCAGAAACGTTGGCACACGGCCAATGAGATCAACCTAAATTTGATTTCAGCTTACTCATATTCGCAAAAAGTGCAGATTTGTCCAGGAAAAACTTCCATAATATGAGAAAAGTAAGGATTGGATTCACTCAGTCTATTGGTACTACTCCTAGACTGAGTGAAATTTTGACAATTTTCCTCATTTTCCTGCAGATTTTTGGTGAGATAAATTTACTCGTCGCCAATTTTCTGCACTTTTGGCGATTATGAGTGAACTAAACTCGTTCTCATTCGCTGTGTGATAAACCTGGAAAAACCCGAGGGGGGCGCCACTATCTACGATTCAGGAAAACATGTGTTTTGCTGAGGTTAGCTGCGCGCACACTGAGCAACAGAAAGATAATTGATGACGATTCTGAAGAATTCCTGCAACAAGATAATGCAAGTAGATGCGAGAAATGAAAGAAGATTTTTCGAAGATTGATTCGGTAGTGTGAGATTTGTTAAGCATCTAGAATTGACATTTAGATGTGTCGCCCCCCTTGGAAAAATCTGGAAAAACATGAGGCAAATTTACTCATCGCTGATTTCCTGCACTTTTTGTGATTTGGCAGTTAATCAATTTTTGGATGTGGTCAACATTTGTTTCCGGCTTGTTGGAATTTTTAAAACAACCAAAAATTCCCTTTCAGTTAACGAACGTTAAGTGTAACATGATGGAAAAAGTTCCTTCTTTCAAACGAAGCAACTCCAGATCAAATAGGAAAAAAAAACTACAAGGGACAGCTCTATGGGGTTGTTCGCAATGGTGACGTAGGACTACTTGGTCTTATATAATAAATGTTATTTTGTTAACTACAGCAGGAGCTTGTGTTTTGTGTAGGAATAGGAATTTGAGCGGGTTCTTTCTGTTTATACTCTTTACTATGACGTGAATCACGTAGAGCTACTGATTCCGATCAATAGCGGTGCGGCTTCTTCCTCTTATGGATGCTCATGTGGGCTGCAGCTCGCTGCTTGCAGGCAGCCTTTCGTTGTGTACTGGAGAACACCACTCACCACGCAGTGATTGAATAAACACCGTTTGGTGAGACCAGATGGAATTCAACTTTGAAATCTGTGTTAGAAAATCGTTTTTCGCAGGCAATGATGCGGTGATAATTTTAACTATCATAGCAACAGTTGCACATTCGTGCAATTTTCAACAGTGACATTTTGAAAAATGATTAAGTCTTAATTTTAACAGATTCACAAAAAAAAATCCTATCGATAGGCGTATTAAGAACTAAAATCCATCATCTCTGGATCAAAATCAGAACACTTTCATGCCGCGATCGACTTTGGTTTTTGAAATTGCACCCCAATGTTGCCTTAAAATACATGGTATGTTAGATTTTAAGATATCTAGATAGAGCTGGAATAAGGGCATAACAACTTTTGTAAACAATTACTTCTCTCGATGGTTTCTAGGAATTCAAGGCACGCCCACGCAAACCAACATTACCGTCGGGTATGGGAAGTCTTACCCTACATAATAGTGATGTTGATTTCCGTGGGCGAGCCTTGACTTTCAAGGCATCATCGAAAGAAGTCATTGTTTACAAAAGCTGTTACGCCCTAATTCCAGCTCTATCTTGATATGGGAACTGACATCCGATTGATGACCTTGACAAATGTCCAAAAAAATACTCTTCTACAAATTTATGATGGTCCTGAAAAGGACCGTTTTGTAGTGATGGTTGAGTAATGTTGAGCTTTTAGGGTGTTAAACACAGATGAGGCTGGTGAGCTGTATGTTGTTTGGAATGAGGATGACGCGTTTGCCATAGATGGCCCACAGTGACTCACAAAGAGTTACTGATTCTGATCAATAGCCGTGCGGCTTCTTCCTCCTTCTATGGACGCTCATGTGGGCTGCAGCTCGCTGCACTGGAAAACAATATTCAACGCTACGCGCTGAAAGCACTGCTGCTGCTAATGCCGACGACCGGACACCACCACACACGGTGATTTGAACTGATAGCTAGCTGCTTGCGGGGAGCCTTTCGTTGTGTACTAGAGAACACCACCTCTCAGCACGCGGTGATTGAAAGAACACCGTTTGGTGAAACCATATGAAATTCTGCTTTGAAATCAGTGTTAGGGAATCGATGATCATTTTAATTATCATAAAATCATATTATCATATCATTATAATTATCATAGCAAAAGTTGCACATTCGTGCAATTTTCAGTAGTGAGATTTTGAAAAACGATAAAGTCTTAATATCAATAGATGCATAGAAATATTTTCGATCGATTGGTGATAAAATTCTTGAAATTGGTTCAGAGGCAGCTGAGTTATTAACGTTCAAAATCTTTCATAATTTTGTTACTTGTTCCGTTTTTGGTATTCACAAAGTGTACCCCCATATAGAAATCACAGACGTAGTCCTACGTCAAAAACTTATTTCAGACTCCAACTTCTCAGATTTCTATGGGGCAGATGGGCAGAGATTGAAATTTGTGCTGGAATTTAGCCATTTTTTTAGATGTGCGCAATGCACCTCAGCAAGCCGGCGTTGCTAGTTCGTCGATCGTCTTTCCACTTTTGTTGCAGCTCTGACAATATTTTCATTACAGTCCTTTTGACAGCATTCCACGTGCTTCCACGCTTGTTGATGATCATTATGCTAATGGTATGCATTTCATCTCATCATCCAATCCAGTGGAACTAGCTCTTAGCTTCAGGTCTTGACAAGTAGGATCCCTTAGTGTGAGCCCTTGCGGCACGTCAATCTTATTCAATAGAAAATCTAGAGGTCTCTAATAGCGAATTTGTTTTTGATTCATTTCCAAGCTGGATCGGGTATCGGCTTGTTGTCTGTCAAACGTCAGTTTAAACGTTTGTTTTTGTAATTTGGCTCGGGTTGAGGCTCGCACTGACAATAAGCTCGGGATCACACGGGTTAGAACTGGTTCCAACCTGGATAATAAACAAATTCGCTATAAGGTAGGCTTGCACAAAGTTCAGCGCAAGGGGTAGACGGGGCAAGATCGCCACCCGATTCAAGATGAGCACCATTTTACATTTTTTTTTTTATATATTTGAAAACTGCACATACGTATCTTTCAACAATGATCCTCAGATGCAACATTCCAAAAATGCTTTAGAAATATTCAATAATGACCAAGAAATTGATACGACAGATACGAGAAACCTCAAATGCAAGTTTCATTACTCCTGCAAAATAAGAGATGAACTAGCCTCAGGCTAAAAATCTCTAAAATAAAGAAAAAAAAAAAAAAAAAAAAAAAACTCCTGCAAAACTCCAAAACTACGGCTTTCAAGGCAAGGACTCGAAGGTGATCTAGTGTACTTACCGATAACTACAAAACCAAATTTACAAGACAAATATAGCAAACGATGGGCATACCAAAAGAATTCAAAGAGTCATTCTGGAGAACTCCTAATGATCTATAACCAAATTATGATTTGATTGTATTAAACCATTTCCATTTTTTATATCATGCCAAGATGCTTCAACTGCTGTTAGTTGCTTTGGATTGGAATTGAAAGCAGGTATTTACAAGCCCTCGCAAATCTAACAGCAAATCAATAACTCCATGCCTTCTGTTTCACTGCTTCCCAATAGAGAAACTCAACAGCATCGTACCCCGCCTATGCGACTACTCGGGCCTGTACTACTGTCCGGCGTGCCACTGGAACGACACCAGCATCATACCGGCTCGGGTGATGAACAACTGGGATTTTGTACCGCGTAAGGTCGGTCGCGCTTCGCTACAGCAGATCCGGTTGTTATACGATCGACCGATTATCAATCTAGAAGAACGGAATCCCCGATTGTTTCAGTTTGTGCTCAAGTTGGTAGTAGTTAAGAAGCTCCGGCAGAAACTAACGCAAATGCGACGCTACTTGACGGTCTGTCGTATAGCCGATGAATTAAGGCTGGTTCGTGAGAGCATTGGGAACAAACGGCACTTGATGCAGACGGTGGACATGTACAGTGTGGCGGACTTAGTTGCAGTGGAGAATGGAACGCTGCCAGAGTTTCTTCGTAAGGTACATAGTAACTTCGAGAGACACATCAGAAACTGTGTGGTAAGTTGAGGAATCACTACTGGAAGCAATTTGAATTATTCGATTTTCCCACTGCAGATCTGCTCCGCAAAGGCTTACCTTTGCGAGGTGTGCAACAATGACGAAATACTGTTCCCGTTCGACGATGGTGCCATCGCTTGTACTCGATGTAATTCGATTTCACATCGGGCATGTCATGTACGCAAGAATATGCAATGCTTGAAATGCACCCGGTTGCGCATTCGCGAACAGCAGCTACGTAACGAAATTTTGGATGCCGCTAATGGAAATTAATCAGGAAGCTCTCTAGAAACACGCTTTTACGCTTTTATGGCCGTGTCATCTTAACCAAAGCTTAAACGATCATGCACAAACGCTTTACTTGACATAAAATGCAAAACATAAATTAATTACAGTTTATTTCTATCACTTCACACGAGATCTAGCGCTCTGAAATTATTGCTGAACTTCCGTAAAAGTAACCAGGTGAACACCAAGTTGCTTAAGTAGCTCATACTGTTCCCTTATGATTCTGTCCTTTTCAAGGAGCTCCCTAGCAAGCAGTTCCACTTTACCTCGTTCATTTAGCAAATCTTCCGACAATCTCGTATGCTCTTCTACATTACAATCAATCACCAGCGGTTGAAGATCCGTCTCTAACTTTAATTGAGCCGGGTCCTCGGTTAGAACAATCGTAGCCAGCTGTCCGTCATTGTCAACGCTCCCATCTATCGAACCATCCGGAATACTTTCGCTATACTCTATCACATCGTTGAAAATCTCTTCCTGTTGCATTGTCACCTCGTCTATCTGATAAACGTCTCCAATTACCTGTTGTTGCTGCTGTTGCAATCCGACCACCGATTTTCGCACCGACGAATTACCGCCATCGATTTCCGTATAAACCGTGACCGGAAATACCGAAGGAACGGCCGTTCCCGTAAGCTGACGCGTCAGGAAGTCCTTCTTTTGAAAATGGCGCTGACACAGCCGCGGCGGTTCCCGGGAACTTGCGTCGATATCGAATTCACGGAGGCCGCATGCCTCCAGCCACCGGTACCACATTGGACAGCCGCGGGCTGGGAATTTGAACAACCGACAGCTGGGCTCACGCTGACGGGTATTCTTACACACTAGACACTTGCGGCCGTACTGCATTTCGAGTGCCGAACTGTTTTTTTTAACTCAGAACACACTATTATTGATTATATTTTGTTTTCAGGCATTACATTAAAAAATATTACGAGATTACTAGCAAAATGTTTATACTTTGGCTTCAGCTAGTTTTGTTTTTATTATTCATAAACAAAAAAAATCATCTATACTAACCAGGGACGATGCAAGGAGAGTATCATTGCTCAATTATATGTGCCCAACGGTTTCACATGCACGCTAAAAATAATTAAACTTGCGTGGAAAGGTACACCCAAAAGATTTTCAAATCTAAGTAGATTAAAAGTTACGCTAAATCGCAACTCTTCTTACCGACTCATAGCTTGGTATAAACCAGGTGTCTGGCAACTCTATATATCAATCCTATACGTTGACAGTGTAGGCAACATCACGGGCCTTATTTAAATACGGCCCGCCTGACGTATACATGGTGGAAAGGGACGGAAAATCGTGTTATAAGCAGAAAGACAAGGGCAGATGATAGCATCAAAAACATGGCCGCCAGCCAGGCCCCTGGTATAAAGAGAGAGAATACACACTTAGTATAAAAATGATTTATGCAAACCCGAGTGCAAACCATAGTACACAGAAAAAAGTTGTTGAATATAACATCCAAACTGCTGCAACCAGGTCAATCCATCGGTTCCCTAATAAAATTGTTATGGTTATGTTGCTTAACGACGTGTTCGGGGTATCATCTAAACAATTTGTAGTATAGTTCTATTATTTGGATTATCGTTCGTTTATGGTAATGTTGTATTAGGGTTGAGTAATATAACGTTGTACCACAAACGAAGTGACAGACGACTAACTGGCGAAGAAATCCATCAAAATAATGTGGTTCACTGTAATAGAATTTTCTTGGAAGCTTGTGCCATCATCCACCAGATGGGTTAGTTTTTTTGGTTTGATTTGAACAAAGTTGATTTTGTGTATAATGATTCTTTGACAGTGTGCAAAGAGTGTATCATTTTGTCATTTTTTTATGCATTTCAGTTTTGAGTAGACTGAAAGAGATAGAACCAACAATCAATACGAAACTAATGATTTTAAAAAGGCTCACTACTTGACTAGCCTATTGGTCCCAAGCAAACGATTAACGTACCCCATTCTAGTCGAAATTCTACTACTACAAAATATTTGTTTTGATTCGCTATGAAAGTTTGACAGTTAAACTGAGGGGTTAGTGGATTTTCCTCGGGATTTTCCTATGTTTCGAGGGGTGAATCGATTAGCTTGGGACCGAAGAGAGTACCAGAGGTGAGCCAAAAACTTGAGCACGTTATTTCGAGACCTTCTAGAGTTACCTCTATGATAGAACCAAAACATTCTAATACATTTGGTGAAAATGCTAGTACAATCCAGTAGTAGCATAGATTACTGATAAGACCAGACATAAGACCACTGGGTACCGAAGAAAATCATTATTATTTTTGGCTCACTCAGTACCAGAACAACGGTCCCAAGCAGTCCCAAGCTATTTCACTCACCCCTGCATGTTCTGCATGAATCCACACACCCCTGATGTTAAACTTTCATAGCGAATCAAAACAAACATAGTGTAGTAATAGAATTTCAACTAGAATAGGATACGTTAATCGTTTGCTTGGGACCAATAGGCTACTAAAGTGGTGAGCCAATTTAAAATCGTTAGTTTCGTATTGATTGTTGGTAGTAGTGTTGCCATGTGGTACAATCCAGTAGTAATGGTGTTGCCATGTGGTACACTGAAAAATTGAAATAGCAGGTTAGTCACCAAAGCTTTCGAGCCGCTCCGTCGAAATACCTCTACAATATAGGAATCGAGACTTTGCAACATAAGTTTTGCGAATGCCCTCGAGTTGCTGCAGCCAGTGGCAGCGGTAGGGACGCAGCAATAGGTGCAGGATAATTTAATTTGAACGAGCTATTATTGAAATGTCCTGCAGGACCGCTTTCACTCGATATCGTTTGGATGTCATTGACATGGACAAAAGGGTAAGGACCTCCTTCACGCGATTTTTTTTTGGTTCACCTAGCTGTTTTTTTTTTTTAGTGTACCTGGTGCACCCGGTACTAGAGCAAAAGACAGCAATTTGTACCAGAACAGGTGTCAAAAGTGACACTTTTTGCCAGTGGTGGCGGGGGGGACACCCCTCACCATCCCTCTCCAAAGGGGGAGTTTGGTAAAGAGAGATGAAAAAACCGATTTGTACCTTCCTTAAAAGTTGTTCTAGCTCGCTATTCTAATATCTATATGCAATCTTCACACTGCCGTACTCTAACGGAACTATTAACTCTATGCTTTCATCTACTCCATCTATCGTATAAAAATTACCACTACAGTCTGTTATTTGAAATTAGCATCTTCAACTATGAAAAAAATGGTTTGAAGCGAGAACGATACCATCGAGTTTGACATGACGTGCGTACTTTGGTATACATTTAATGAATACCTCCCCGTTATTCGGCCTTAGTATAATTATCAAGTCATATTTTATTCTGGCTAATGTATAAACATTGGTAAACCATAAAAAGATTAAATTATAATCTTTCTTTGAATAGTAATAATTTTGAGTGTATAGAAAATCAAAAGTGCGAGTTTCGTAAGGGATCGTCCATTAATTATATCACACTTTTAGGGGGGAGGGGGGATTTTGGAAACTGTGACGAGCCATACAAAAAAAAATTAAAGTCCATACATAAAATGTGTCAAAGGGGAGAGGGAGGTTGAAAATGGGACAAATTTGCGTGACATAATTAATGGAACTTCCCTAGGCAAAAAACAAGGCCAGAACGGAACCTAGGTCGGAACCTTAAAATAGGCAGAATTTTAGAAAAGGCAGAATAATTCTTAAATAGCAGAATCCCAGGTTAAATTCCAAAAGCATCATAAGGACACGAGTGGCATGCACGTATATAATTCCACACATTTTTAATGATGAATTTTCATGTGAAACTCCACATGATTTTCATGTGACCACACATAAACAGAATCCACCCAGAAGCACACATCAAATTTTTTTGAGTCAAATCAGTGCCAACATTTCAAAGGGGCGTAATTGCATTTGTAAACAATGGCTTTAGCCGTCGATTTTTCGCGAATAAAAGCTCACTCATGAAAAATAATGACACCAGCAGGTAGAGGAATGTTTCCTCTACCAGCTAGCATTGTTATTTTGGAGAGGTAAGATTTCATTCGCGAGAAATTGACGGCTAAAGTCATTGTTTACAAAAGCAATTACGCCCCTTTGAACTGTTGGCACTGAAATGAATAGTATGTGTGGTTACACATGACTTACGTTCCTTTCGAGGTTCCTTTGTGTGTATGTGTATGGTTGTGATTTATGCGGGTAGTGAACATCGTACCGGTGGGAATGGTCTTACAAAACCCAACAAACGTGACTGAATGACATTCGATCGTCACCGAGTCGTTACCAAACTTCATCGTGTGACATACACAGAAAAACAAAACTACCCACCGCTTGGGTTTTTTAAACTCAAATTTGAGTTATTTGACCTCTGTCCATTTCATTTCCTCTCGCTATTGTTGTCAAAAATAGAACGAAAGATTCGACTCAACCGTCTAGTTCCGTACAAGAAGCCAAAATTGAGTAATATGCGATATACCCAAATTTGAGTTAATTGAACTTAATTTTGGGTAGAAAAAAATGAAAATTACTTAGCGATGGGTAATTTTTTTTGCCGTGCTTAAATGCAAACTACTTTGAGCCGGTTTACCCAAATTTGGCTTATTGTACGGAACATGGGAGATGAGTGAAAAGAACTTAATTTTGGGTTGTTTTGAATTTCTGTGTACGCACACTTTTGCTTCGTAAAAAATTTCACACACACAACTACCAGGAACAGGTCAGAAAGTGAAACGATAGCTGTATGTGGTTGGTTTTACACTCTATTTCAAAACTACCCCAAACTCAAAACTCATATCGGTCAAAAGTGATGCTTCTTAAAAATGAGTAAACTAAGTTGGGAGTGACAAGTTGACAAATAGAAAACATCTTCTTGAATCCGATCGATGATGTTCATTTGTCAACTTGTCAATCTCAACGTAGTTTACTCATTTTTGAGTAGCTCCACGTTTGTCCCATATGAGTACATTCTACTCAAATATGGGTTGTTTTGAAATAGCGTGTACTTCGCTAACCAGCCAGGCCATCGACTAGCTAGCGAGTTCGAGTTCGGATCGGAACGTTTGAGTTGCGAGTCGAGTTCGAGATCGCCGTTTCATTACAACTCAATCCGTTTTTGTGTGTGGCGAGCTGAAAGTCAGCACCAGCAGAAGCAGAAGAGTGGCCATATTCGTCTTGAAGTTTTGAGATCAATTTTTTCCTGTTCCTGGATTTGGGATTTCTCTCCTCGGTGTGACGAAGGCAAGTGTGAATAGTGCGTAAGAAAATTGTGCAGGAAAAGTTCCATATTGTGTGTGCGGTTTGCTGCGAAGTTGGAATTGGATTTTTTCGAACCCGTTTCGCAATTTGACACCTTCACTACTGATGGTGGTGCTCACCCAGGGGGACCCATTTTGTGTGACTCTGGTCGTCTCTGTGTGCTGCTGGAGAAAGTCTGTGGTGCGCTCCGTGTGCTGATTTGGTGTCCCCTTCGCTAAGCTCCGCAGAATCGGGAAGAGGCCTAAGGCCCGAATTCGGTTTTCCCCTCGGTGCGCATGGATTGGAAGTGACGTTTTTCACCTCGGAAAAGTGCAGGTTATTTTTAATTTCTTCCAAATAAGAGCATTTTTCGACGAGTTTCCGCGGAGTGCGAAGAAAACGAGAATAAGAAGAAACCCGCAAGTACGTTTCTCGATTGGCTTTATTTTTTTTTTGCTGCTCGCAGAACAGAACAGAAGATTGACATCTCAGCTCGGTGTAACCTTTCGGGACGAGAGAGAGACACAGCAGAGAAAGCCTTGAAAAGTGCGATCCGGGTTCCCGGCCGTGAGGATATTTTTTTTTTGTTTCTTGCCTTAGCTGTAAGAGTTCCTGTGGCGGAGTCTCTCAATCGCACCCAATGCCATCCAAACTTTGCGGTTGAGTGCGCGGGTGTAGTGTGGGGGACAACGATCGCGGAAAAAAATAGGCGAGAAACGTCAAAATCTTGGCTAACTGATGTGCGTAAGTGCTTGTCAAAAAAAGTTAAAAGTTACATTTAAATAAAAGTGATTGGCTGGTTTCAAAAAGGCCTGATGTGAGTGTGGATAATTATTGTATTCATGAACTATTTGTAATTTTGTTTTGCAATTTGGGGCAAACATTTCCATTTAAATTAAATTACTGTATTCATCTGTTATTTATCCGTACCGTGTGGGAACGCAATCCATACACCTAAGCACAGGAGAATATTTAAAGCTCAACATATAACTCGATATTGATGTGACCATCGAGTTATAGAATAATTATCGACTTAAAGAATTAAATCGTCCGTAATTTTAAGAATAATCTCGAAATATTCTATTTACTGTAATATCTGGCCTTATTTACCCACTTTAGTTCGAGAAGCTGTTGAATCCATTTACGGAAGTTCTGAGTAGCTAGTTAATAATACAGCCAATGTGAACAAAGCCACACAATTAAACTGTAATTGTAATTGTAATTTATTTAGTCAAACGTAATCGTAATCGGTTGATGAACTCTTTATCATGACAAGGAAAAAGTACTTACATTTCATGAAATTCAATTTATTTATTTGTCGTCAATCATGTTTGTAGACCGTTTTTGTTACATTGATTATCTTAAACACTAGTTCACTTAAATTCATCCAGCTTTGTCTAAGTACAATATGTATGGGCCTATATAAATAGATTTAAATAAATATTGTTTTAGTTTGGTTTTGGACATTTTAAAGTCAATAGTATCGCTATGTTTATTGCACATAGTCATCATTTGATTGATAGGCCCAAATTTGACATAGTTTAGGTTAAAGAAGAAAACTCAATTTTGAGTATTCCTGATGTTCCATTGAGTGAAAATTACCTAACGATCAATCGAATGGAATAGGTAAAACTTACCCAACGTTGGAATTTTTTTAAAATAATTTTCCTTTCTGTACTATAGAAATTAACGCATATATAACAACCAAAGATAAATTGAATTTATTGGAACCAATTTAAATTAATACACAGCAATTAATATGCACTTCCGCAATCTCTCGTCCTCTAGAAAATCGTCCGCAGCAAAATAAATCCTCGTCGCCCTTATAGGGTAGAGAACTGCTTCGGCCTAATCGCCTATTTTGGGCCTATCGAGCAGAAAACTTCAAATAAATCCATGATTTCAGAGTTAACAAGTCAATTATGCGTTTTTACGATACTTAAGTTAATAAGCTACGGAACGAAGTCAATGGGAACACGTGATTAGAAGGTTTGCACTCATTATTCCCAAAAACAAAAGAAGCGCTCCGACCGAATCAATTTTTATCTTCATCCGAAAGGCCGAAGTGAATTCATTGGCGTTTCAATGCGCTAGGCCGAGCTTAGAATCCGTAGGCCGAGTTTGGCGTCAAGAAGCAGTGTTAGACTTTTGACAATATCTCAATGGTTGGTTTCTCTTTATCAACTCTTACGGTACACACGGAAAGGTAAATACATTTGGAAGCCATCAGTAATAATAACATTCCGTTTGGTGCTAAACTGCGCTAGATTAAAAAGGACTAAGTGCGGGTTGTGCTTAATAGGCCGGAAATGGGGTAGTTAACCCTACCAAGTTCGACTTTTGGGATGGTCGAAGCAAACCTGTTGTAGAAGATACAAATTATTTTTTCTGTAAACAATGGAACTAAAAACACTCACAATTTACCATCATCCAAACTTTTCTTGTCACCCTAACGAGAATACTAATAGGATAACTAATGAAGCACGAACGGATGCGATGGACTACACAAAATGACAGCATCGACGCAGCACAGGTTGCTATGATTTTCATCAAAAAATAAGTTAAAAGTACCCAACGGTGAAAACATGACGGCTGAGTACTTTTAACTGGAAATTGAGTTATTTTTTACTTTGATGAATATTTCAAGATATCCTTCGTTAATTACTTTATCCAACACAATTCACAAACGTGTAACTTTTAAACAATTACGGAAAGTGTTATATCAATCGATATCGAAAAATATTACGTTTTGAGCTTAACCCTGATTAACAGAAAATAAACTTAAATTTGAGTTCATCTATTCTTACTCAATAGATGAGTAAATTTGAACCAATGTCACTTTTCTGATACACTCAACGGTGGACCTCAAATGATAGAACCCAACCTTGAGTTTTTTTTTTTAATTTTGAGTATTTTTTCTTACCGTGTACGATGATCATTTGTGGAAACTTTTCAAAATTCATCATATTGAGTATTTTTCTCAGTCGAATTTTTCTAGCTCTGAGATTTGGAACAAATTTTTCCTCGGATTTTTTTACGGTTTAGGGAAATTGCAATCGAGAAAACCATTTTCACATACAGTATTTTCGTGTGTGAAAATTTCGTATCTTTCAATGGTAAACATTTCAGAGTGGTAGGGTTAACTTCCTAGTGTTTGGGCCCATACATTAATTTCGAAGGACAGCATTTTTCGACTATTTTCCACTAGCAACCTAAAATATTAATTTGACGCAAGATAACGCATTGCTCTAAGGAAAACAGGAGGATTTTATCGATCGGACCAAATCCATAGGCCAACATTAGAACCATTTCTCCAATATCGTTTTTTAGTTAAAGCTCGATTCAAAGTAAATCTGGACGCACGGTTTAATACATCATCGCGCCCCTGTTGGTTGGAACAAAAAACGTTTGACAGGCATTTGTTGATGTTTCATTGACGAAGAAATTGGTGAAAAGTTTTTCTAGATTGATCGACGCATCCTAATATTACGGTTCATGGAACATGAGAAAAAAAAAAAATTAATTGTGCACAAACATCTAGAGAACCCTTCGTGGTCTGCCTCAAAAATAGCAAAAGTGTTAAAATTTCCAAAGTCAACGGTGAGTCTTGTAATTAAACGTTACAAGGATACTCTGAGTGTGGATAGAGCACAGCGCATCAATCATAAAAGTGGCACTAGGGACAAAGAACTGAGGAGAATGGTGTACGTGGAACGTGAAAAGCAACCCAGGTGTCTCCATACGTGATTTGGCAAAGAAATACGATTCCAACTTTTCCACCGTGCGTAACATCCTTTCAAGAGAAGGATACAAGTCTTTTTGTGCCAGTAAACATCCGAATCGCTCCCTGAAACAAAATTTAGTGGTAAAAAAGCGAGCACGATTACTATACGAACGGGTTTTGACGAAATTTGATGGCTGTATTTTAATGGATGACGAAACATATGTCAAAAAAGATTATAAACAAATCCCCGGACGAAAATTTTACCTGGCAACTGGTCGTGGGAATGTCCCTTCCAGGTATAAATTTGTTTTTGCTGATAAGTTTGCTCGGAAACTAATCATTTGGCAAGGAATCTGCAATTGTGGCATTAAAATTAAGGTTTTCATCACATCTCACACAATGACGTCGAAGGTTTGCATTAAAGAGTGTCTTAAAAAGCGGATTTTACCCTTCATTCGGCAACACAAGACCAACGTTATGTTTTGGCCGGATCTAGCCAGCTGCCATTACTCTAAGGAGGTACTAGAATGGTATACTGCAAACAATGTTAATTTCGTCGCCAAAGAGATTAATCTTCCGAATTGCCCTGAGTTCAGACCGATCGAAAAATATTGTCAAGCGAAAACTTCGAGGATGCGGTAAAGAAGTGACAAATGCACAACAAATGCGTTTAAAGTGGAATAAGTTCACTGGTAAAGTTTCACCAGCGACTGTGCAGATCATGATAGCATCGATCACAAGTAAAGTGCGACAGTTCGTTTGAAACGGTGAAATGTAATAACTTGTTATACATCGTTTGGAAGCTGAATAAATACCCTTTTGTTTGACGTTTTGATCAATCGTGTATGTTGTTTAATTCTTGAGTTAACTTGAATGTGTCCAAATTTATTTTGAAACGGGCTTTATGACCAAAAAACTAACGGTTGATCACGCGCATAAAATCGATAATTTTTTAAGATTTAAACCGGGAAAAATGGGAATTTTTCACGATATTTTCTTAACAACACATGTAACTTTTAGTGCACAGTGTAAAATACCGGTAGTTTACAATCGATCCTAACGTATAACTAATTTCTGACAAAAATCCATACAGGACTGTTATGCTTTTATGGGTAGTATGATAGCTTTTACCACAGCTGGATGTCAGGTTAAGAAAGCACAACAAAACTGTTAGATTCCATCCAATATGGTTATTTAAGGAACGGAACAAAACACCTAGAGGCAAGCATGGAAATTCATTCATTCGCGCGAGCACCACTGAAACAAAATAGCCATCCTC